AGCCCTGGTTCCTCTGAGTCCAGAGCCCACACCTTTTCTATTTCTCTGCTTTACCACCCAGCCCTCCCCTGAGCTAACAGCGTAAAGAGGCCCTGCCGAGTCCACAGGAGGTGGCGATGGCTTGAGAAGTATTCAGCTTCAGGAGAGGAAATGGGAACCCAAGACTTGGGAATCTCCCTTCCGACTACTGGGGCGCTCCTTCCTATAGATCCTCATCATTACTCAGACCTTAGAGGGAGCAGAGGAGTGTAGACAGGTTTTGATCGGTTTTGTTTGTTGAAGCATTTCATAAGCTTGTTTCAGAGCCCCTCTGCTTCTCACAGTTTCCCAGACAGTCCGGCCCGTCCATGCCGCCGCTGTTGCCTCGTCTTCTACCCACACTCCTCGCAGTCCTCTGCACCCTCTATCTTTCAGGAAAGCCAGCTCCCTGAGCGCACCCCCACCCCCTGCCCCAGCAGGAGGGGGTGTCCCCTTCATTTACGGTTCCTTTCTTCGAGGACATTTCCTCCAGCCCCGTGGGTGGTGGCCATGACTTACCTGTCGCCGTGCCATCCAGCACAGTGCCACCGCACCCGGGCAATGCATTATCCAGTCTCTGCCCCAGCCCAGACCAATCAGAGCAGAACCTGGAGGGGAGCTGTATTTACAGACTTCACGGGGAGTCTTCATGGAGCCCCCTGCCAGGTCCTCATCCAGCCCACTCGCTGGATCTAAGACAGACCCACTTCTGGAACTGCCCAGAGTACCGAGGTCCCACCTCCCTTGCTTGGCAGGTGGCTCAGCCCTAGAGTTGCGGTGTTTGTCCTGCACCAGGCATCAGTGACCCCAGCGGGGCACTCTCACCATTGCTCCTACTGCTTTACGTGCCTCCTTAGTCCAATGGAACACAGACAGTCTTGAGAGAAGAACAGGGACTTCATTTATCCATCCTCCCATCCGTCCATCCATTTATCCGTAGTCTATTTATTGATGATGCAAATTTATTAAGTATTCACTATAGACTGGTACTATGATGGGCATATACCTTTGAATAATGAATGCTCTGCTTGGGAAAGTGTTGTAACCTTCTGAGAGGCAAGACCGTGTTTCTTTGTGTGTGTGTGTGTGTGTATGTGTATGCATGCATGTGTGCCCATGTGCTAAGGTCATGTCCTTGGACAACATCAGGATTCTTAGTGACAGCATCTGTCTGGCTGGGCAGTGAGGAAGGTTTGGGGTGAATGGGAGATATGACCCAGAGTTTGAATGATGGGGTGGGTGCCATAGGGGAGGGACTGGGTGCTCTTGGGAAACCTGTGTTAGGGAGGGAAAGACTGAAGGACTTACTCTGAGGCTGTTTCCCATGGATTATGACCTTCAGGTTCCTTCTTCCCTTCCTCCCTCCCCACCTCAATTTCCTTCCTTCATCAAACATCCCATGAGTACCTACTGCCTTGTTCTCAGACTTTGGACTGTGGACCAGCTGTTTCAGCATCTACCGGGATCTTGTTAGAAATGCAGCTTTTCAGGCACTGAGTCAGCATCTCGGGGAGTGGGTGTAGGACTCTGTTTTCATGAATTCTCTAGGTGACTCAAGCATGCTAGAGTTGGAGAACGTCGGGCTTCCCGTCTTCATCGCTGCTCCACACTCAGTACAAGAGCGTTCCACAAACATTTGTGGGCTGACTGTTGTGTACCACATCCTGTTCGGTACTAGGGATGTGGAGATGCCCCAGGGGGAGGATGGCGAGGTCAGCCAGGTTGAAGGTATCAATGGGACACGCAGGTGACAATAGCCAGCAGGGCACCAGATACACATATCTGAGTCTCAGGAGAAAAATCCCAGCCTTGGAGGTAATTTGGAAGTCATCAGCACACACAGATAGAATGATTATATGACCAAAGAAACTCTTAAGGCCCATGTGAAAGTCAAGATTGCGGGTGGTGATGAGGTGGGGTGTCTACTGACCTGAAGCCAGGTGTTCTAACAATTCTGGCCTCAGGGCCCATTTGTCCAATGTCGAGGTGACATGTTAGCATTTTTACTCAGCAGACACTTTGGCCATCAAGCTAAGACTGTGACTGTTTCCTGTCACTGAATATTAGGCAAACGGCTGGCTGGCTCTTGGGCCTCCTGGGATGGTTTCATTTGTAGGGCGTCTGCCTTCCATGGGGATCCGCCTTCTGCCTTCTCTCCAGGGGGCACTATGGCACTGAGACCTGATGGGAGTGGGTAGGGACGACCTTCATCTGCAGTAACTGTGAGCAAGTTGGGGTGGGGCTCACAGTGTTCTGGAGAATGCCCCCTCCTCCCCAGCACCAGGCTCCCTGGTTTTGCAGAGCTGGGCCTGTAGCGGCAGGCCTTTGGCCACAGCTGTGCTGTAGAACTTGATCTGGATTTATTTTGGGAGAGTGTATATTGGGATCCAGCACTGCACTGTAATTCAGCTACCCAAACTCCAGGCCCACCTCACATGGTTTATGATAAATCTGTTTGGCTATCAAATGGTTAATGCCAGTCTAAGCAGAGGTCTGATGGGGTGGATGCATTTGTACACCAGATTCTTCTATTAGAAGTAACAGACTTTTACTGGAAAAAAAGGAAGTGCTCGCCATTGTTAATTCCCTGGCTGGAAAGTTCTTTGTGATCCAGAGGAGCTTAGGAAAATACTTGCTTTCATTCCCCAGTATCTTAGCAGCCTTCCCAGCAGCCTGTGGCCTGTTGCCACCAGATCGTACTCGACAGCATTTGTCAGAACGATTTGGTTTCTGACTGGTCACTCGGCTCAAATGTCCAGGCCACAGTACAGGAGGCACCAGGAGGCTATCCTGAGGTTACAGTGGCCGCCTCTCAGCCGGTGCGCTATCCCTATGGGTGGTGCTCAGAGCCGGCTGGCCGTTTGCCTCGGTGCCGCATGGACCCTGACCTCAGCCTGCAGTCTCCTGAGGAGGCAGGGCTCTGCATGCACCACGGCTGCCTGCGGAGGCCGGGTTTGGTTATTTGTGTGTGTTGTGGCTACATGGGTGAAGCCTAGCCACCGACTTCCTCCCCTGTCCTTCTGCCCCCCACTTAAGATTTGTTAGCAGGAAGGAACCAGTAGTTACGGGGTAACAGAGACAAGCAGGGGTTCCTGCAGCCCACCGGCACCACCAAGCTGCCGGGAAGCAGGCAGAGAGCTGCCCCATGCCGGCCAGGGCCAGCTGCAGCTTTTCCTCAGGGAGCTTTGCTCTTTGGCCATTTCCCTCGGGGAGTGAAATATTTATGTACTGCTTTTCCTCAGCCCTGCAAGCTGGTAGATGTGGGCAGACAGTTTATGTCTTTTCTGCCCTTGACTTTGAATTTCAGACAATCCGATCACAAGTTCATACTTCTGTAGAGACTTAATTAACCCGCTGGTTTTGTCATTTCAATTCCAGTAGCCCTATTTAACCTGCCCCGCCCCCCAATACTTTGATATTACTCTCCTCCAAAGCTGTGTGCGAGTCCCACCTTCAGACCTGGTGGGCAGCACAGGCTCTGCTTCTGAGCCAGTCTTCCTTCCTTGCCCTGGGTTCCTGCTGTGCCTCCTTTGAAGGCAGCATCCCCTGCCCCCCAGCAGTTGTTGCCTCCCCACAAAAGTGCTTTAAACTCCTCGGCTCACACCCTACCCTGCTGCTGGAAGGGCCTTGGTGGAGAGAGGTCTGAGCTCTGTTAGTTAGGTTTTGATTTCAGTACAGGAGTTGATAAAACGAGATAAACCCCAGGCTCACAGGGCCGGGGAAATTAAACAGAGATGATATCAAAGTTCCCCTGAGTTTTCAACTGTGATTCAGTAGCTTAGTTTTCTCCCAGACTGCGGCCGGGAGGCACGCCTTTGATTCTGAAACAATGTTCAGCATCAGTTAAGCCCAGCACTGCTGACTTTTAGGGATTAAGCACACTGTCGTAGTAATTCTTTGATCAGCTACAAGGGAGCCGTGTGCTGTCTGTGTGAAGGGACTTTATAGTTAAAGTTCATTTCTCTGTGAACCTGGGGTGACAGCCTTGGTGAGGTGCTGCCGTGCCCGGGGGCTGGGACCTCTCCCGGGCACTGTTTGCTACACACGCAGGAAGCTCTTACCCAGTGTTGTTGGAGGGAACTCATTGAGCACAGCTGGAAAAAATCCTGCTGGCCTGGAAAACACACCTCACCCTAACTGGCCCCATCCAGTCCCTCAGTCCCAGGAAGTACCACACACACACACACACACACACACACACACACACACACACACACACACACACACTCTCTATCTCTCATTCTCACACACACACACACACTCTCTCTCTCTCTCTCTCATTCTCACACACACACACACACACACACTCTCATACACACACACACACACACACTCTCTCTCTCTCTCTCATTCTCTCTCACTCTTCATCCCAGTTCCTCAGTCCCAGGATGTACAACACACACACATACTCTCATCCTCTCGCTCGCTGTCTCTCTCTTTCTCCCCCTGCTTTGTGGAGAAATCCTCTCGGGACGGATACAGGCACAGCTGCCCAGACTGAGGCTCTGTAGCCCCCAGCCTTGGCGATGGTCCGAGTGAGGCTGGCTGCCCGCGCGGGGTAGACAGGGACCGGACGCCCTGTGAGGTTACGCCAGGAGGACCAGGTCAAGGTCAGTGCTGCCGGGGTACTCTCTACTCTTCCGACCCCGCCGCCATCGGAGGTGACTCCCAGGTGCTGCTACATTGTCATTCCTTCCCCTACGTTTCCTGGAAATCCACTCAGCTTCAGGTTGGCTCCTCCCTAGAGTTCTCAGAAATCTCAGTCTCTGTTGTCTTGTCATCTAAAACACCGGGTGAACTTTTGGCTTTTCCTACAGAGACCCTCCTTGAAGCCACAGCTGAGGCAGTAGAAGTTTCCCGCTATCCCCTGCCCCCAACTCCGTTGGCCCTGCAACTTGCAGTTGATAGTGGAGGCCCCCACCACCCGTGTGCTGTTGATTGTGCTCACATCACCCCCTTCCCGCCTCTGCAGCACGCGGGTTTCCCTCATTAGGCCTAAATTTACCTCTGTCCTCCACAAACATGGCCTTAGCTCATTTTTATTGCTGTAAATTATTTATGAGGGAAATGTTGCATCTTCGAAACTGAGGTGTGAGGAAAATTAATCCCATGTTACTTTTATCTCTCAATACTTTTCTCCCCCTCGCTTCATTTACTGGGTTACTGCTAGAGAAGGGAGAGCTTTGGCATTTTAAAATATAATTGGTTCTGAGAGCGCTTTCTTGATCAGGTATGGGATGGGAAGTCCGGTCTCTCTCTGCCCAGTGTGTGGAAAGTAGACCAGACTGGGGAGGGTCAGAGGCCCCTGGGGCTCTACCTTCTGCCAGCCCATGGCATCTGAGAACTCCAGGCCTCTGTTTCTTTCCTCTAAAATAGGGATTAATATGCTTCAGTCCCCTTCTTAGGTGTGGTGTGAGCATCCGTTGAGGAGCCGGAGAAAGCTTTTTTGGTAATTGCTGGGCACTGCTCAGATGCGGGGAGGTGTGTCAGTGCGTTCTGTGTGCAGCTAGAATTTGGAGCTGGAGGTGGATGCCGGGCTGGGCAAAGAGCTGAGGAGGACGCCCGTCGTTGCAAGCAGGCCTGGCATTTTCTGCTGCAGCCCAGTGTCAGCGTCTTGCGAGACAGGTTAATGGTGGTCTTAAACACCCCCCACTCCTCTGCCCCTCTCCCCAGGCAGCTCTGCTCTGCGCTCCCCCCGACTCACCCACCCCCATTAACGGCCTCTTCTCCCCTTCTCCGAGGCCTGGCCTGTGACCCGGGCAGCCGCAGTGCCATCCCTTCGGGCCGGAGGCTCCGCGCAGCCCGGGGAGCGCCGAGTGCTAGTTAATAAATGGCCTTTTGTGAGGAAGGTCAATTGAAGTGACGGTAGAGACGCTGTTAAGAGTAATTTGCAGTCAGAAAATATGTAATTCAGAGCAAGAAGCTCTGAGTGATTGCCTCTGCCATGGATATCTTGGGCGTTTCTCATTAAAAGCTTCCTTTGCTGGTGGTGGCGCTTTCTTCCGCCGCCCCAGCGAGGAGTCATTTGTCTGTATTTCACAAAGGCTGCTGGATCCCCCAGGGCACTGCCACTGGGGGGGTGTGTGTGTTGTGGGGGGTGGGGGGGAGGCGTGCATCTGAGATGCTCAGTGCTAATGCCCTGCCCGCCGCATCCTCCCAGCCTGCAGGCCCGCCGCCCGCTGCCCGCCTGCCGGCTCCTTTGTCTGCTCGGGAGGCCGCCCGCAGCCATCTTGGGGCCCAGTGCCCGGCTGCCCAGTGCATTGTGGGAGCAGCAGCGTCAGCACCACCACCCCCCGCCCCACCCCCGCAACTTGCACGCGCTGCAGATCAGAGGAGGCGGTTGGTACCTGGACCAGGATGCAGTGACCCGAGGACGGGGCATCGCTCAGCTAATAAAACATTTCTTATTTATTCCCATGCTCCCCGCCCCCCACCTCAGATAGTAGAGGCAGCACTATTTTAATAATAATAATAAAAAAACTTACCTCTCACGTTCTTTATTAAATTCACAGCATGATATTTTAGCACTGGCAGAATCGAGTGCCTTCTGTTAATGAGTTGTTAATTGCAAAGCATTTCGGTAACCAACAGCAGGTATACCAGTATTTTGCTAAGGGCAGTGATGTTATTTCCTTGTTAACCAAGAATACCGAGTTTTCCACGTGAAGTACTTTTTGATCAGTGGTTTGCTTTGGATTCCGCTGGTGCAGATAGTGAATTCTAAACCTTCCTGACTGGGGGCTTCCCTGCGGATTCATTCAGTAAATATTCACTTAGTGCCTACTGTGTGCAGGAAGCACTGAGCCCTGTGCTTTATGCAGATAAACTCTCCTGGTAAACGAGATCTGAAAATAGAAAACGATTCAGTGATGCAGTGTGATGTCCTGCCCCCCTGCCCTTTACTTCCAGATGCTTATTTTCAGTAGAATTAAGTAAAGCTTAACTTAGTTTGACTTTTGTCATAAACAGAAGCTGAGAGTGTGGCTGCTGCCAGGCGCCTCCTAGCCTTGATCAGGGAATTAGCTCCCTGGCACTGACGAGCCTGTTTCCGGAGCCTTTCGTGGGTTCCAGGGAATGCTGATTACACAGTGACTTGCATACCGCCCTCTGGTTGTTTCTACCTAGGAGGCTGTAGTCCTTTTTAATGGCCTCTGCCTTTTCTGATTCTAGGCTGAGAACTTAAAATATTCCTACTGGCTGCCTAGTTAGACAAGAGTGCTTGGTTTGCTTTAGCAGCAGTAACCAGCCTTGAGAGATCTGACAGAACCACAGCCAGTGGAATGTAATCGCTGCAGAAGGAGGTAGAATTTAACTTGCTGTTTTCCACTGCTGGTCCTTTTAAAAAGCTCTAGAAGTTATTTACATAAGGTGTTACCATTTTATATGCTTTCTGCTACACTGCCACTCGAGCTGCCCAGACCCACTGCTCTCTATATTCTGCTGGTCTCCTCTGGTCACATCAGGAGGCAGGCAGCAGCAGAATAATAATTTCATTTCCCTCCCTTTCTCCCAGTGTCCAACAAGAATTACAGTCATTGTTAGTGTTTAGCTTTGAGTAAGTGTCCACATGACCCTAGGATTAAACACAACAAAGGGACCCACCAGTCCTCTTGGGAACAGCAGTAACCACGTTTCTGGCCGATTACACTGGACCTTTGTGTCTGTCACCCACCCTTCTCATCTGCTTTTCGTTGAGGGCCTACTGTGTGCCAGGGGACCTCTCCAGGCCCTTCGTTTCCGGGATTCCCTTAGTTCTCACAGCATCACTGCAGCTGTCAGCGTCCTGAACCTTTGCTTGCCTGCTCACCAGCTATAAGTCATGGAGCCTGGACTCCATTGCCTGCTGTGGCCTCCATGGCCAGAGCACTTTCCTCTATGTGTTCACAAAGCTCTGCCTCCGCAACAGCCCACCCTTGGATGTAGTCATGGCTGTGGATTTGGAGGACTGTTCTTCCGCCAGGAGATGCTGTGAGGGGGAGAGATGGAAGGTGTTGCTAGATTTAACCATGTCTGATTTATCCTTAGAGAAGCTGCTGGTGTCTGTGTGGAAGTCAGAAAGCAGGGCGGGAGAGTGTTCAAAACTAACTTGAGAAGAGCAGGGGCTGGAGGTGACTTGAATTCTTTTTTTTAAAAAATAGAATATTGGTTTATATATTTGGCTGTGCCAGGTCTTAGTTGGGGCACATGGGATCTTTGGTCTTTGTTGAAGCATGTGAACTCTTAGTTGTGGCATGCGGGATCTAGTTCCCTGACCAGGGATCAAATCCAGGCCCCCTAGCATTGGGAGCGCAGAGTTTTAGCCACTGAACCACCAGGGAAATCCCTACTTGAATTCTTAATCTGAGGAAAGGGTTGGGTAAAGCCAGGGCTCCCTTAGCTGGTCCAGGTATGTGAAGTTGAATTCAGGATATTTGCCCCAAGATTCTGGTTCTGTTTGAGACTCTGTATCGCTCACTTTAAATGCTCCATTAGAATTTTGTACTTTCTTTTTCCTTTTCGGAATCAGGAGGAAGCCACCATGCCTGAAGTCAAAGACCTTTCAGAAGCCTTGCCAGAGACGTCAATGGATCCCATCACAGGAGTCGGGGTGGTGGCTTCTCGGAACCGAGCCCCAACAGGCTACGACGTGGTGAGTCAATATTCACTGATTTGGCAAATATTTGTTTCCGGTGTTCAAGACCCTCTGAACCTTGTGTGTAAGATGTGTTTCTGCCTTCTAGGAACTTAAACAGGGAGGGAAAGCATCACCAACGGCAAGGTGCGGGAAGTGTCCTGGCTGGGGAGCAGATGACCTGAGCTCATCTGGGCTGTTGCTCAGCCTTAGCTGAGTCACTTGACCTCCGTGATGGTCACCTTCACATCTATAAAATTAAGGGGTTGGATTAGTTGACTTCCAGAGTCATTTCTAGTTGTGACATTTCATGAAAAGAATCCAAGCATCTGAAAGACCCTTGGTTGTCATACATTGTCTTGTATAAATGTTATAAATATGTTGACATGAGTTTATATAGCTTCTTACAGTTTACAAAGCAGTTTTTCACACCCATGAACTCAGCTGGCTCTCACAATTCCCTGGAGGCTGGGAGGGCCAGTTGCCTTCCGTCCACTGTGCTGATCAGGAGAACACAAGCTCCGAGAAGGGAAGTAATGGAGGCCCAGTGCTTAGGAGTGGTGAATCAGGTGACTCAGGTCCGGGGCTGTGATGACCGCATCACCACAGTTTAGTAGAGAATTGGCTTTGCTTTTCAGCACACTTCTGTGGTGGTGTTCAGTAGTACCAATGGCTCGAATTGATTATAGTGTTTTTTCAGTAGATAAATTCCAACTTGGTTGGGGCTTAAAATGTGCAGAGGAACTATTGGGAGGTTTTAGCTAACAGTGACTGTTGTCATGTGTTCTGAACTTCTAAGGTGGACTTAAAAATAAATTATTTCTTTATTTTTGGTTGTGCTCAATCTACATTTCCATGTGAAGGCTTGCTCTAGTTGTGGTGAGCAGGGACCACTGTCTAGTTGTGGTGTGAGGGTGTCTCACTGTAGTGGCTTCTCTTGTAGCAGAGCTCAGGCTCTCGGGCACACGGGCTTCAGTCGTTGCGGTACATGGGCTTAGTTGCTCCGTGGCCTGTGGGATCTTCCTGGATCAGGGCTCGAACCTGTGTCTCCTGCATTGGCGGGTAGATTCTTTACCACTGAGCCACCAGGGAAGCCCCTAAAGTGGTCTTATTTTTCACTTTCCTTATTTTGTTTGACGACAGAGGATGAGATGGTTGGATGGCATCACCGGCTCAATGAACATGGATTTGGGTGGACTCCGGGAGTTGGTGATGGACAGGGAGGCCTGGCATGCTACGGTTCATGGGGTTGCAAGGAGTCGGACATGACTGAGTGACTGAACTGAACTGATTTTGTTTGGGATGATGTTTTATTCTTGCTCATTGAAAATGTATACCCAGAATAAATAAAAGAATGTAAGTCTCATTCTTCAGCACTGAAAACCTGGCACAGTGATAAAATCAGTGTCTGATGTGAGGTGTGAGTTTGGGGGGGGATGCCATGCCCAGTCCAGAAGAAGCCCTAAGGCAGGGTTTCTCACCCTTGGCATTACTGACATCTTGGGCCAGATGTTCAGATAGTGGTAGCTGGCAGGGCGGTCCCATGCATGGCGGGGACAGCATCCCTGGCCTCTTGCCACTCGATGCAGATAGCCCCAGCCCCCAGGGTGTGCCAGCCAAGAATGTGTTCAGACTTGCACACGTCCCCAGGCAGAGGGGCAGGCAGGCAGAATCAGCCCCATGGTGAACAGTGCCTGTTGCGTCAGCCCATGCTGGCTCCCATGTGAGGAAGGGGGAGCCTGTTACAATTCTCCACATCACTTTCTCAGCTGCTGGAAAGCTTATAAACATTTTTAAAGTGAACGAACAGGGGAATTTTTTTTTTTTTTTAACAAAGATTGGAGCCTTACCTGCTGCCTGACTTCAAAGCACTGTTTGAGTGTATAACTTGCCATAAAATAGAGTCATTAGGTATGGCTTTGTGCCATAAAACTCTTGAGGGAGCTAATAAAAATGTTCCTGATTTGAGAAGCCCAAGTGTCTTTTGATGAATTAGATATGAAGCAGTGTGTCGTGAATCAGGGCGGGGGCTTGGTGCGTGCCTGTCTCCGGGAGGACCATCTCCAGGGTGACTCTCCGGGTGGGGGGCGGAAACCCCAGGTCTTCTGACTGTTCCCTCGTGTGGATCTGTGTCTTTAACATTCTGCGGGGCCCCTTCGGGGTCACCATGAATGCCGGGTGAGTGGGCGGCAGATGGCCTTTGATAGTCTGGTTTTCTGAAAGTCTTGGTGAGTCTGACAGGAGCAGAATCTATCCCTATCATTTTCTCCTAACGTCGAGCTCAGGGCAGAAGAGCGCGGTGTCAAATGAGTGAGATTAATAAGCACATTTCACGGTGGGGTTGCACCAGGCATCATTGTGAAAGGTGAGCAGGCCAGGAGGCTCCAGAGGGTCAGCTCGGCAATTACCCAGGCTCCTCACGCCGAGACCAAGTGTCCGAGCTCCTCCAGAAGCCCTTCTGGGGAGAGATGCGGGAGTCCTGTCTTTGTGCTGACCGCCAGACTCTTCTCAGACGAGCATCTGCTTCCTCAGAGGTCTGACCCTGAGTTCAAGGGGAATGGGGGAGGACACCCCCCCCTTCCCTTTATCCATAGTTTAGTGGGAGGTTGACATCCAAACTGTAGTGCCAGGCTTTTGACGGTGGCCGGGCTGCAGAGATGCCGAGACAGAAGTGCGATGGCGGAAGGAGGCTCTGCTGCGGACCTCGGCCGGGGCCTCTCCGGCATCTGCTGGAGGCTTAATCCCCCCGTGCGCTCAGAGCACGCTAAGTACCGTGACACGCAGACCTGAGAGTGGATGCCAGATGGACCGCTGACCCTCGGTGGCACAACCATTTTAAAATGAGCAGAGGCCCTGGTGCTGCTGGAAGTAAAAGATGCCAAGTGTTTGTTTATAAATATTGAATTTGACAACTTCTCTGCCGGTCAGGGGATGGTTTCTCAGGTAGGGGCTGGGGATCACTTGCTAAACTTCTCAGTTTACCGTCCCTGTTTCTGCAGCCGCCTCTGAAATAGCCTCCCCTCCCTGCTCGGCAGCCACAGGCTCAGATCTTGAACGTTGCTGCCAAGGCCCAGGTCCGTCCTCTGGCCCTTCCGTGCCTGGCCTCTGCCCCCTCCTGGCTGCCTTCATTCTCCCTGATGGCGGCGTTTAGAACTGCCAGGTGTGGGGGCCCAGCCAAACTGAGGCTTGGCCTCCGAGAGACTTGGAGTTTTTTTGGTCTTTTTCTTCACTGTGCTTTAAGAGCTCCTTCCTTCCCTTCCTGAGAAACCCCACGTGTGAATGGGAGTCTTTGCGGCATGGTGACCCAGAAGTGACAGTTTATCACCTAGTTCAAGGACTGTTCCCAGACGCCTGGGGCGGGGGGGCTTCTTGAGCTTTGGCGGGTCTCAGTCCTCTGGAGAACCCCACACCCCGGATTCGTGCTGCAGTAGGTCTGGGGTGGGGCTGAGAGCTTGCATTCTAACCGATTGCCCGCTGATGTCGATGCTGCTGGTTCAGGAGACACATTTGAGAACTGCTAGTCTAAGTTAAGTCATTCTTAAATAATATGCACCTGTGCACCCCACAAGTCTAACTCAGGAAGTGCTGTGCTAGCTTTTCCCATTAATTTCTGACGTGTCCTGATTTAGAGTTTAGGGGTTTTTTAAAAATACAAATGAGATGGTACCATTTACACTCTCATAACTTAAAAAATTAATTGTGGACTTAGCTCGATATCAGTCTATATAGATGTATCACCTCCTCTCAATAATGGATATTTATTGTTTGGCTGTTTCCTAGGTGGTGCTAGCAGTAAAGAAGCTGCCTGCCAATACAGGAGATATAAGAGGAGTGGGTTCAATCCCTGGGTTGGGAAGATTCCCCTGGAGAAGGGCATGGCAACCCACTCCAGTATTCTTGCCTGGAGAATCTCCTGGACAGAAGAGCCTGGCGGGCTGCAGTCCATAGTGTTGCAAAGGGTTGGACAGGACTGAAGTGACTTAGCACACTTGCACACCAAAATTTGGCTAATAATTCAATATTGAAGAATATTGAATTTGTTCCCATTTTTGTTTTTAATGCAATAAACAATACCCTTATGTCTGTATTTTAGCATGGTCATTTAGTGCCATAGAATAATTTCATAGGTTGAAATTACTGGGTCAAAGTGTTCACATTTTTTTTTTTTTTTTTAGAGTGTTCACATTTTAAACTTGATAAGTGTTGCCTATTGCCTTCTAGAAATGTTGTTATATTTTGTGTTTCTGTTCTCAGGCAAGTGTTGAGTAAAGTGAAATTTGGGGGCTGGGGGATGAATTGATAAAGCCCCCCTCCCTCCAGACTCTGTGTCCAGTTTCCCATCACCAGTAAATCCAGGCAGACCTCCAGGGGTGAGGGCCTGGGCAGTAAGCAGTAAGTGGTAGCCATGGGTCTTCTCCCTAAGAGCGTCCTCCTCTCAGACAACCAGAGAGAGGACAGATACCCAAATCCTTCAACTTGGCACACGTGTCTTCCAGTCACTTCCTTCTACCGTCTTCTCCTCCAACCTCATCAACCTCTAGTTTCTCACATTTGAAATAAGGAGCAACTTTGTACCATATTTCAAAATTCTTGTGTTCCCACCTTTTTGGATAAAATTTTTCTCATCCTTCAGAACCCAGTTTGAAAACTCCTTGGTGAGGCTTTTCCTGATGTTATGCGTTTATTGCTTCTCACTTTGGCTTCATAGGTATTTGTTGACCCCCTACCATTGTGCAGAAGCCCCGGGAATTCCAGGATCCTGGGAGGGGTTCCATCATGTGAAAGGGGAAAGGTGAGATGAGGTAGTGGGGGTGGATAAGGCCAGGTCGCACCAGAGCATTATAAGCTACACAAAGGCACTGGCCATTGTTCTGAGGGTGGTAGGAGTCATTAAAGGACTGTAAGAAAAAGGTTCTTATATTTGTGTTTTTAAAAGTTCCCTTGATGTGTGCAGAAGGAGGAGTAATTGGAGGGCATAGATAATGAGTCAGGGGCTCAGTTTGTAGGGTCTGTGTTGG